CAGCATGGAGACAGGGCTTTCGGTCCAACTGGTCCATGCCGACCAGGTTTCCTAAACTGACCTGGTCCTGTTTGCCTGTGTTTGGCCAATTTTTCTCTAAACCTTTCTTAGCCATGTACCTGTCCACATGTTGTTTAAATGTTGTGATTGTACCCACCTCAACCACTTCCTTTGGCAGCTCGTTCCATGTATGCACGAGACTCTTGTGTGAAAAAGTTGCCCTTCAGGCCCCTTTTAAATCTTTCCGCGCTCACCATAAACCTATGCCTTCTAGTTTTGGACTCCCCTATCTGGGGAAAAGGCCTTGGCTATTTACCTTATCTATGCCTCTCATGATTTTATAAACCTCTAAAAGGTCACCCCTCAGCCTCCTACACTTCAGGGCAAAAAAAATGTCCCAGCCTATGAAGCCTCTCCTCATAACTCAAACCTTCCAGTTATGGTAACATCCTTGCAAATCATTTTTGGCATCCTTTCCAGTTTAATAACATAATTCCTATAGCAGCGCAACCAGAACTGTATGTTCACTCCAAGTGTGGCCTTACCAATGTCTTGTATAGGTGACATCCCAACTACTGCACTCAATGCAGGTGTGGAAGTTCCTTGAGGTTTCGTCTCTTAACTTCCCTCATTGAACCACCTTGCTGTTACACTCCTGTGATTGGTTCATCCACTTCATCCACTAATTGCAGTGCTATCCCACAGCTAATTGGGAAGTGAACTGCTTTTTTGTGCCCTAATTAGATTCATATTCACTGCTAGTCCATTAGTATTTTCCACTGTATCATAAATAATTTCACAACTAACAAATGAAAAAGTTAGGGAAATTTTTCTGATTGGTGCCCCTATGATTTTTGTCCTGGGTTATATCTTTGTTCTGGAAATTACTTTTAATTTATGTGGACTTTGTGACAACACTAGAGCGTTGACAATTCTTACTAATGAAAGTAGGGACTGTTAGTAAGCGCGATTAAAAAAACTGTCCAGAAAGGAGAAAAGGTAGATGTGCAGGCAAAACAGTTTATGGATGGCATTCCAATTGTTGGCCTGTTTCAACTTTACCAACCGAGAAGGGCATGGAACAATCTAAAGTATTATTTCGAACTGAAAAGATGAAAGAGGGCAAACTTCAATGAAATGAGAGGGGGTCTAATCCCTAGGTGACAAACAGAACTAAAGATGGGCAGGAAAAAACATAATGGACCAGTGGGTAATATTTTATAATTGACAAAGAGAGAATAGGAGAATAAAATACCAGTTAATATATAATAGAATGAGGTCAGAAAATCAACAACACCAGGTTATATCCAACAGGTTTATTTGAAAACACTAGCTTTCAGAGGTCTGCTTTTCCTCAGGTGTAGTGTGGAAGAGGAGGTATACCGACACAGAATTTATAAGCAGAAGGGTAATAACCTGAAAATGGCTTGCTGACTGCTTCCTGTTGAATCTTTAATCTGTTACAAAGGAGATGCAGGTTTCTATTGATTAAAATGCAAATCCCAGAATTTCTTTCAAGTCATTGCCTGGAGATAATCAAAAGTTTTATTAGTGTATACAAGAGGTGACATCTCGGGTCAGACAATGCATTTTAGGTGTGAGGCCTTGTACTTGTTCCCCAGTGGGAGAATAGTTCGGCAGTCAAGGGCATTCTGCCTCCAATCTTCAGGTGAGCATCCTCCAAGGCGGATCTCAAGATACACAACAACGCAAAATCTCTGAGCAGAGGCTGATAGCCAAGTTCTGTACCCATGCAGACAGCTTCAACCATGATCTTGGGTTCATGTTGCGCTACAGGTGACCCCACCACAGTATAGACTCTCACACACACACTGACACACATGCAAATGTACACACTCTCTCACATAAATGCACTTACATACATACACTTGCACACTCACACAGACCCTCTCTCTCACACACACACACACATATATGCACTCCCTCACACTCACACACCCTCTCTCAAGCAACACGGTCTCAAACACACAAACACACTCTCACACACACACACATATAAATCTATGGGGTGAATTATTTCATCCAAGATGTTTGTGTATTTGCAGATACATTCTATTTTGTTCAAAAATTTAAAACCAGCCTGACTCCAGGTTAAAACACAGACTCTAAACAAGGCCTCAGACCTAAAATGCATTGTCTGACCTGAGATGTCACCTCTTGTATACATTGATAAAACCTGTAATTATCTCAGGGCAATGACTTGAAAGAAATTCTGGGATTTGCATCTCAATCAATAGAAACCTTTCTAACTGATTAAAGATTCAACAGGAGGTGGTCAGCAAGCCATTTTTAGGGTTTTTACCTTTATGCTCATAAATTCTGTGTTGGTATAGTCCTCTACCACACTACACCTGAGGAAGCAGCAGAGCTCTGAAAGCTAGCGTTTTCAAATACACCTGTTGGATATAACCTGGTGTCGTATGATTTTTAACCTTGTCCAACCCCATCCAACACTGGCACCTTCACATTATATCAGGATGGCTAGAGGATTGGCTAACTGATAGAAGGCAGTTGGATAAGGGGCACATTGTCAAGATGGGAATCTGTAATTGTGATGTGCTATAGAGATCATTGCTGGGGCCAGTTATTTACAATACTGTATATATTAATGAATTGAAAGAGAGAAGTGTATATACTATAGCCAAATTTGTGGATGACAGAAAAATAGGTGGGAAGGCAAACGGCAAGGATGGCACAAACAGTCTGCAGAGGAATATAGATAGGTTAAGCAAGTGAGCAAAAGCTTGGCAAATGGAATATAAGGTACAGAATGTGAGGTTATGCACTTTGACAGGAGAAATGGAGGATCTGAATGTTATTTGAATAGAGAAAGACTGCAGAAAGCTATGGGAATCCTTGTCTATGAATCACAAAAGAAAATCCAAGTTCAGTGGTTAAGATGGAAGGCAAAGGAATGTTTGCCTTTATTTCAAAGGGAACAGTATATGGAAGTAGGGAGGTTTTTCTAAAACTGTACAAGAGAAAAATGTATGAAAGTGGGGAGGTTTTTCTAAAACTGTACACGGCACACGTCAGACAACAACTGGAATACTGTGGATTGTTTTGGCTCCTCTATATGATAAGGGTATACTGGCATTGGATGCAGTCCAGAAGAGGTTCACACAGCTGATACCAAGTATGGAGGGACCGATTTATGAGGACATGTTAGATAGACTGGGCCTGTACTCATGAAATATAGAAGTACGAGAAGCAATCATTTTGAAACTTACAAGATTCTTAGGAAAATTGACAGGGGAGATTTTATCCCTGTGGGATAGTCGAGGACATGAGGGCATAATCTCAGAATAAGAGGTCGTACATTTAAGGCAGAGATAAGGAGGAATTTCTTCTCTCAGAGGGTTGTGAATATGTGGAATTCTTTGCTGGAAAGAATTGTTGAGACTAGGTCGTTAAATATATTCAAGGCTGAGATAGACATTTACGGGATCAGCCAAGATCTCATTGAAATGGAGAGTACACTTGATAGGCAGCATACTCCTACTTGTCTGTCTTATGGTCTTTCAAAAATCTTCCACTGGCATGTACATAGTAAGCAGGTATTAAGAAATGGTCCAGTCTGTTAGGGACAAGGATTAAATAATTTAATCCATTCACAATCTGGGCATTGAATTTTGCCTTCTGGAATAATATGACAGAAATTTGTGTTCAATGCTAAGTTTGTGTATTAATTTTAATGATTAGTTAACGGGAGAATACTTGGTTCAATCCCGGAAGACTAAGTCTTGTGTTCACAATGAAAATTTGGACAATTACTGAATGGAGATTTTGGATGGAGATGCATTTAACCCCAGTGAGAATCAGAGTTACTAATTTAGATTAAATCTTTAGAGTTTTATGATCAAATGTAGTTGCATCCATTGCAAAGCTATTTAAATCGTACGTGTTGTACATTTACCTATACAGTATTGATTTACTGACACCTGATGTACCTGAAACATGAACATTTGCTTTTCTCTTTCTCCCGAATTTACCAAACGTGTTTCCCAGGAAACAACCAGCTTTCATTTTATTTCAGATGTGCACCCTCCGCATTTATTGTGCACGTTTGTTTCCTGTGTTGCCACAATAAAGAATGTTCAGCGACATGGTCCGAGAAGAGAATTTTGTTTGGCAAGGGAGACCGGCAGACCTCAGCAAGTGGGACCGGAGACAAGATTTTGATTCTGAGGAAGAGTCAACTGGACCTGAAACGTTAATTCTGCTTTCTCTCCACAGATGCTGCCAGACCTGCTGAGATTTTGCAGCAGTTGGGTTTCTGATTTCCAGCGGTCCGCAGTTCTTTGTTTTTTCTGACATAAAGATTTTGATTGACAGGCAAGAGAGGTGCGCAAGCTCACTCGCGAGATGCGGAACAGAGGATGGTCGCACGAGTGCGCGCACAGGAAAAGGGGTGTTCGGCACGCGCGCTTCTGTTGCGTGTGCGCGCGTACGAGAGAGGGAGCGCGAGGAAGGCTAGCTGACTGACGAGCGCACGGGGGGAGCTCGGACAGAGTGAGTGCATTCTGGAGGCGGCAGCTGGGCTCTGGGGAGAGGGGTTGTTCTCAGGGAGGGGGCAGTGGCAGTGGCAGCGGCAGCATCACCTGGGGGGAGTGGGCGGGGCCAGCCGCCAATGGGGTGGCCAGGTGAGCTCGAGTCATTTCCGAATTTTTTTTTTGGGTTTTAAACAGCTCCCGCCCCCCCCCCCCCCCCCCCGAAACAACCGTCGCCGGCGAAACGGCATCACCATCCCTCCCAATCAATACCACCATTGCCATGGCTGACACTATATTAGCATCTCCCCCATCACTTCCACGCATTAATCAATTTGTTATCACTACTGTGATTGTGTGAGGAGGGGACAAAATAATGAACCAAATTTCCTGTAATTTTCTTTATATATTAAAAAGCTGTTGAAACATGGCGTCTTCGAATATGGAGGAAGATGAGAGCTTGAAAGGATGTGAAGTTTACGTCCAAAAGCACAACATCCAGCAAATCCTGAAGGAATGTATTGTTAGCCTCTGCATTGCCAAACCTGACCGACCAATGAAATTCTTGAAGGAATATTTTGACAAACTGGAAAAGGTAAAATCTAAAGAAAATGTGTTTTTGTTTACATTTAATCTTTACTTGGGGAAGAAGGGAAAAGCTTTTGTACTTTCATTGGTTATTTTTCCAATGTATGGGATTTGAAAATAGCAGTTGGTTCGTAAGTGACGTCTCCTTGGCCATTGGCACCATTTGGTTTTGTAAACATTTAGTTCATACATGCTGACTTTTGATGTTCAGCAAATCTGTTGATATCTTTGCAAGCCAGTAGGAGATAAAACTAAATGCATTTTAAAATTTTTGTCAGTAACTGTGACTTTAAAGTTTCATGTTCAAGTGCTTAAAAATGTGATGTATCTGGTTGGGTGGAAAATTCTGCTTCATGCTGTGGTTACTTAACCCTGTTATGATCTCTTATTAAAATTCAATAGGTGCTCAATTTTTGGATGTTGAATGAATTAGTACTCGAAAAATTGTGCATCATGTTGGTCTGCATTTTGTAACATACTAAAACTCTCTTTTCACCTGATCGCTGATTGTAATTCTGTAAACCTCTCTTCTCTCCTTCCTTGGGTCACTCCTTAAAACTTACCTCTTTGGCCACCATACTTAATATCTCTTTATGTGGTCTGTGAAAACTTCATTTTGAAAATGAAACTATGAAATTCCTTGGGATATTTTACTTTGTTAAAGATGCTGCATTGTCTAAGTTCTTGTTTGCCATAATTAAATTTGCATTCCCCAGCCCCACAACCCAAATGCAGACCATAACCAGCATGTGAATGTGTTATCAGATCTGTTGTGTTACATTTCAAATGTTTTCTGTTGAACATTAATGGCGCAGTGGTAATATCCCTACCCGTGGACCTGGAGGCCTGTGTTCAAATCCCACCTGCTCCAGAGGTGTGTAATAACATTTCTGAACAGGTTGATTAGAAAAATAAGTTGAAGAAAAAATTCAACTGGCAACTGAGAGATCTGTTATTTTGTTATACTCTTATAACCCAGTGATGCTTCATATTTTGCTAATTCAATTCTATTCTGTATGCTTTGTCTAAAAGCTACTCCTTGCCTTGTTGTCAACTTATGCTTCATTCTGAGCTATTCATTTTGATATGTCCCTTGATGACAATTAGCTCTGGATTTTCAGTCAATAAATTTGTGTGAAAAGAATCATAATCTTTCATTTGTCAGAACTGTCACATCAATTGGAGTATCTTTAAAAAGGCATAATTACAGAAGAAACCTAATTGGTAGCCCATGCCAACTCTGTTGAGTAACCCAGTGAGTCCCATGCACCATGCTGTCTATTTACATACCCTTGAAATTTATTTTCCATAAATGCTTATATAATTTCCTTTTGAAACATTGACTGTCTCTGTTTCCTCCACCCTACTAGGGAGCAAGTTCCAGGTCATTACCACTCGCTGCCTATAAATAAAAATAACCTTCTTTGCATCATTTCTGTACCTCTTGCCCAAAACCTTAATCCTGTAATCCCATGGGAAATTGTATATATTCCAGTTGCCTATAGAAACGGGACCTCAGGCCAGTTCATGCAGCATTACACAGATTTCTCAATTACTTTGAAATTTAGTTACTTTCAAATGATATAATTATTTAGGTTGAAGCCAGTTTTACCTTTGGCAAGTCTGTACAACTACTGAACTGGGATCTGAATAATGCATGGCTTCCCCAGACAAAAAAAACTTACAATTGAATGCTTTTATGTTTAGATTGTAATATTTAGTAAATAACCTGAATGATTAATGTATATATATTTATAACCTTGTGATTACTTAGGGACATTGACCATTTTCTAAGTAATATTTCTCAGATCCACTTCTAAAAAAATCTTTTTAGTAATGATGATGACTGCGCGCAAGTAGGTTTGTTTCTAGTTATCAATGAAATGGAGGAAATATTGACTGATGGAGGATATACAATTAAAATAATAAGTTAGATGTCCAGCTAAACTTGTGATTCAGAAGTGCAAAAACACTTGCTTAGCAATCACAGTAGATATACAGCATATACGTCAAACATTCTCTCCCTTCACTGCTAATGCAGTGCAACAACTCAAAGTCAACTTCGAAAGGATCTTCCAAATCCACAACCTCTATCATCTAGAAGGATAATGGCAACAACTGTGTGGGATTAGCACCATTTACAAGTTTGCTACCAAACATCCAATAGTGACCTGTGTAAGAAGGAGGGGTTGCACCTGAATTGGAAGGGGATTAATATAGTGGCTGGGAGATTTGCTAGAGCCACTCAGGAGGATTTAAACAAGTAAGAGGGGTTTTAGAGCGGGGGCAGCCAGAGAGACAATGAGAAAAAAGATCAGTCTGAGGCTGGTGCACTTGGGAAAAGGAGCAAGTCAAACAGTCAAGGTAGGCAGGAGCAAAGCAGAGAATGAGGTAGGACTAATGAATTAAACTGCATTTATTTCAATGGAAGAGGCCTGATAGTTAAGGCAGAAAAGCTCAGAGCATGGTGGGGAACATGGGACTGGGATATCATAGCTATTACAATGACGTGGCTCAGGGATAGACAGGACTGGCAGCTAAATGTTCCAGGCTATAAATACTATAGGAAGGATAGAAAGGGGGAGCAAGAGAGGAGGGGAGTGGCTTTTTTGATAAGGGATAACATTACGGCTGTACATAGGGAGGATATTCCGTGGAGTACGTCCGGTGAAGTTATTTGGGTGGAAATGAGAAATAAGAAAGGGATGATCACCTTATTGAGATTGTACTATAGACCCGCCCCCAATAGTCAGCAGGAAATTGAGAAGTAAATTTGTAAGGAGATCTCAGTTATCTGTAAGAATCAGAGTGGTAATGGTAGGGGATTTCAACTTTCCAAACTTAGACAGGGACTGCCATAGTGTTAAGGATGGAGAGGAATTTGTTAAGTGTGTACAGGAAAATTTTCTGATTCAGCATGTGGCTGCACCTACTGGAGAAGGAGCAAAGCTTGTCCTTCTCTTGGGAAATAAGGCAGGGCAAGTAACTGAGGTGTCAGTGGGGGTGCACTTTGCGGCCAGTGATCCTAATTCTATTGGTTTAAAATAATTATGGAAAAGGATAGACCTGATGTTAAAGTTCTAAATTGGAGGAGGACAGTTTTGATGGTATTAGGCAAGAACTTTCAAAAGTTAATTGGGAGCAGATATTTGCAGGTAAAGGGACAGCTGGATAGTGGAAAGCCTTCAAAAATGACGACGAGAGTCCAGAGAGGTATGTTCCTCTCAGGGTAAAGGGCAAGGCTGGTAAGTGTAGGGAATGCTGGGTGACGAGAAAAATTGCGGTTCTAGTCGAGAAAAAGAAGGAAGCATATGTCAACTGTAAACAGCAAGGATCAAGTGAATCCCAAGATCAGTTTACAGGCAATAGGAGTACGTAAGAGGGAAATCCAGAGGGCAGAAAAGGGACATGAGATAGTTTTAGGCAAATAGGGATTAAGGAGAATCAAAAGGGATTCGACAAATATGTTAAGGACAAACTGGTAACTAGGGAGAGAATAGGGTTCCTTCAAGAAGAGCAAGGCCACCTATGTGTGGAACTGCAGGAGATGGGTGAGCCATTAAACAAGTATTTGGCATTAGTGTTTACTGTGGAGAAAGATATGGAAGCTAGAGAACTTGGGGAAATAAATAGTGACATCTCGAACTGTTAATATGACAGAGGAGGAGGGGCTGGATGTCTTAAAATGCGTAAATGTGGAAAATTCCTGGGACCTGATCAGATGTACCCTAAACCTTTGTGGGAAGCTCGTCAAGTGATTGCTGGGCCCCTTGCTCAGATATTTGTATCACAAATGGGGGAGGTGCCAGAAGACTGGAGGTTGGCTAATGTGTGCCATTATTTAAGAAAGGTGGTAAGAAAAAGCCAGGGATCTATAGACTGGTGAGCCTGACATCACGAGTGGGCAAGTTGTTGGAGGGAAATCTGAGGGACAGGATTTGCATGCATTTGGAAAAGCAAGGACTGATTAGGGATAGTCAATATGGCTTTGTGTGTGGGGAAATTGTATCTCACTAACTTGATTGAGGTTTTTTTTGAAGAAGTGACGAAGAGGATTGATAAAGACAGAGTGGTGGACATTGTCTATACGGACTTCAGTAATGCATTGAAAAGGGTCTGCATGGTAGACGGTTAAAGATTAGATCACATGGAATAGACGGTGAGCTAACCACTTTGGTACAAAATTGGCTCAAAGGTAGGGGACAGAGACTGGTAGTGGAGGGTTGCTTTCGGACTGAAGGCCTGTGACCAGTGGTGTGTTGGAAGGATTGGTGTTGAGTCCACTGGTCTTGGTCATTTATATAAATGATTTGGATGTGAATGTCGGAGGTATGGTTAGTAAGTTTACAGATGACACCAAAATTGATGGTGTAGACAGTGAAGAAGGCTACGTCGGAGTGCAGTAGGCCCTTGATCAGATGGGCTGATGGGTTGGTGAGTGGCACATGGAGTTTAATCTAGATAAATGTGAGATGTATATTTTGGAAAGGCAAATCAGAGCAGGACTTGTACACTTGATGCTGAGGTCCTAGGGAGTGTTGCTGAACAAAGAGAACTTGGTGTGCTGGTTCATAGTTCCTTGAAAGTGGAGTCACAAGTAGACAGGGTAGTGAAGAAGGCTTTTGGTATGCTTGCCTTTATTAGTCAGTGCATTGAGTATAGGAGTTGGGGGGTCATTTTGCGGCTGTATAAGACATTAATTAGGCCACTATTGGAATACTGCATTTGATTCTGGTCTCCCTGCTCGGGGAAGGATGTTGTGAAACTTGAAATGGTTCAGAAAAGGTTTACAACGATTCTGTGAGGCCTGGAGGGTTTGAGCTGTAGGGAGAGGCTAAAAAGGCTGGGACTATTTTCACTGGAGTGTCAGAGGTGGAGGGGTGACCTTCTAGAAGTTGATAAAATCATGAGGGGTGTGGTTAGAGCCTTTTCCCTAGGGTGGGGGTGTCCAAAACTGGAGGGCATAGGTTTAAGGTGAGAGGGGAAAGACTTAAAAGGGACCTTAGT